TAACTAGATCATGTGAAAAAGGTAAAGAGCTGTCACGGCTGAGATGAGTATTGAACTTCATCCATCTCATCAGTGCAGCAGGCAGTGGAGAGCAAACGCAATGGATTCATTCACAGACGGGTGGGAACGGCCAGTGAATACAAATGCTGCTTTAGTCTCCGAGATACTCACAGAATACTTTTTACTTTTGTTCATTTTAGCACTTTTTCATTTAGTGTTTGACGTGGTTGTCGAGCAAATTATAAAATTAAAAATGAAACAAGGCCCAAACACTAGACAGGGATTTACTATATATGCACGTGTAATGTGCGAGAGGTTTTATGTTAATGAGCATTAATCAGGTAGTATTTATATTGTATTTGAGTAGTATCTTTCATCGTTTTAGTATTTTAAAATTAAAAATTGCTTTAAGCTCAATTCTTGGAGCTTAAAGCAATTAGCTTGAAAAAGAAAAAACAGTATTTTCTGCTGCAAACAGATAAGAATACATTTATTTGTACCAACAAAGGCTTAGACAAGCCCAAACAGAAGCCTGTAATTGTACATCTCCAAAGGAGTGACACTCACTAGACCTGTGGCAAAAATTCATTTCTTATAAATGTTTTTTTCAAGTGTAATTAAATGTTTTCACATTTCTATTTAATGCAAAAACACCTTTTTCATCTGATATGGGTGATATGGGCCAGATGGAAGAAAAATGACATAAAAAAATGTATTATACAGGGCCTTGAGAAAGAACAGGTGGGAGGATGAACCATGAGTTTTTGCAGGCATTCTGTGACACAAGAAACTACCTGATCTCCAGGTTTTACTGAAATTGTATTTTTATCATAAACAGTTGTCATATTGAAATCTAATTTATCCCAGTGGTATAAAAGTAAACACACTCAATAACAGTGCTGCTTGTCATAAATTATGCGATCCACTTATTCCAAAGTAGTGCATAAAGGTCGTCTACTGCATGTATTAGGCTGTTCATCTCCAACACCCAGTGCTCAGTTTTTAAGCTCCCACATCTGTGCATGCAATCATTTCTTCTCCCATGCGGTAAAGAGAAAATACAATGCACATTGCAGAAAGACAGACACCAAACAATCTGGTATTAAAAATGCAGTGTGATAACCACTCACACCTTTACTAATATCTAACACACTCATGTGCAGAGAAAACTATCTAACAATACACAATGCAATGCAGTAACAGAAAGCCAGCAAAAGTATGACACAGAGTTACACTTATACCTGCACTGTAACACAGTGTAAAGCATTATTTATAGTTCTGCAGTAAAGGACTGCAGCCTAGCAATAGAGCCACATAAATAACAGGAGGCAGAGCAGTCACAGGGATCACCTGAGCTGTGACCATGGTTACAATGACACTGAGTCCCTCGTAGTAAAGACAACATTAAAGGTTCACTCTGGAGCTTTGGACCTCTAGTTCTTGTTTTGTTTATGGACAACTAGATATACAGTCATCCTGAAGGTTTCAAACAGGAGGAGGGTGAAAAATGCTTGCAAGTACACATGGTGTAAACAGGATTTCACAATAAATCTGTTTTGCAAAAGGATTTTCGAGAAACGAAAAGCATTCATTAGTTCCAGCTTAAGCTTGGTTACAACTTCATGGTCAGTGGGACTGAATTTTAACATAACTTGCTAGAAAGTTCTACAGGACATCTTCCAGAAGATTTTAGTGCAGACATCTCCGCTCCTGTTCTCTTTAGCAAGTGTTGCAGCTTTCTGGGATGAAATGTATATTAATGGAAGTAACCCACTGCCATTCTGTAGCAGAGAGCAAAAGTTAGAAATATAATTAAAGCATGAAACATATAAAGCTTCAATAAAACACCTACACTGAGTGCTGCTCTCAGTGGAAACAAAACCCTAAAGATATCTATGGAGTAGAGAAGAACAGCGTGCTTCATACCTGTACTGGCATGGCCCACAGGTTAGGGCAGAGGAAGAAGAACCACATCAGCTGGTTGGTATCGATGGCAACCAGGTTGCAGATCTGACCTACGGTTAGCTCACCCATGGACATGGTGGAGGTGCACAGACGCATGATTTTATTGTAGATTTTTGTCTGGGGAGAGAACAAAAAACAT